ATAGTAGTAGTAGTAGTTGTAGGAGCATAGTATAGAAGTAGTAGTAGTAATATAGAAGTAGTATTAGTAGTAGTAGTAGTAGTAGTAGTAGTAGTAGTAGTAGTAGTAGTAGTAGTAGTAGTAGTAGTAGTAGTAGTAGTAGTAGTAGTAGTAGTAGTAGCAGTAGTATAGAAGTAGTAATAGAAGAAGAAGTAGTAGTAGTATTAGTAGCAGTAGTCGCAGCAGCGACAGCAGCAGTAGTACTACTACTTGTAGTAGTAGTAGTAGTATAAATGTTGTGGTAGAATGAGAAGACGTAATAGTATAAATAATAAGTTACAGCAGCAGCAGCAGTAGTAGTAGTAGTAGCAGTAGTAGTAGCAGCAATAATGTAGCAATAGTAGTAGTAGCAGTAGTAGTGTAGCAGTAGTAGTAATGGCAGTATTAGTAAAAACTGCGAGGGGAAAAAAGGGGATGGGGGGGGGGGGGTGGGGTGGATGGTTCTAGTGATGGGTATTTAACTGGCCAAACTATAACCTAACGTTGCATCGTCTGAGCAGTGGGAAACCGTTTCCTGGTTGACGCATATTTTGTTTATATTAAAATACTGTCTGATTTTATGAGATCTGGCCACTAAACTGGCTCGTAAATAGCATTTATTTCGACAAATAAAATATTCTGCTGGATATGTGCATTAAACGTTACAGTAACTTCAAAACAACAACAAAAGACATTGTACCTAGACAAAAGCAGGGGTAGGCAACCGACACAGCGGTGTATACCTTAGTTTATACAACGGATCAACATCATGGCACAAGGGTAGTAACTCATAAGTGCTTGCTTCGTTCTACTTTTAACTCAAGCCTGAGTGCAAAAAATCTCAACGCAGTTCATGAACTCAGCGGCACCGGCGAGGATTCTGAAATTCTTTGGGTAGATATTCAACTTCAAATTTTGTCCGGGCAGCGCCGTTAAGCAACTCTTTTTGATTTCCACATGCCAAGCTATTTTTTTTACGTGCGCAACAATACACACGGGCGTCCAATTGTACTACACAGAGACCAGGGGAAATTACTAGAGGTCCACCTGAAAAAAAGACCAGCCTTTCCCGGAGCCTGAACGCGGGACCTCCAGGTATTTACAATAAAGAAACACATACACACCAGTGGCGAGACATGATCAATTTGCAGGTGTAATCGTTCGCAGGGTATCATATGATATTTCCCCCTCGCCACTTCGTAGGGTCGGCTGTGTGGCTAAGTTGATGCGAACGCTTCGTTATGCCGCGCTGCCGGGTTCGATCCCAGCTGCGAGCCATGCGCCTTGCGTTGGTTTCGACAGTGGTATCAGGGGGCCGACCTCCAGGAGCAATGGCAAACTACTGAAAGTAAATTTGCCTAGAGAAACCACACAACAGGCAGGGGCTGCTGGTGTTGGTTCTGTAACGTCATGTAAAGAATACGCAACTAACCACTTCGTAGGACTAGTAACTGGTAGCTTTCACACGCTATAAAGTCTGCATGAGTGGCCTAAGCTTGCAGCAAGAGTTCTTTCTGTTTTGTTCGAGACATAAACCGAGTGGCGTATTTGAGATGAATAGTAAAATTATGATTTGTTCTTTTGCAGTGGAGAATGTAAGCAATGATTACAGCCGTTACATGCACGCCTCACCACTGTTCTATCTTTCTACTTCTTTCTATGAGTGCCGTTCACAATACTTTCTGTTACTTGATTAATTCACTGACACACAGGCACACTCACATACAGATAGGCACACACGGTCTTCTTCTTCTTCTTCTTCGCGTTCACCAGCTGTAAACTCTGGCGGAAAGTTCTGATTGTTCGTCCACTTCTGGACGGCAGTCCTCCTATTCCAGAACCAGAGTGTTGCATGTGCATCCGTTTAACAGATGTGACTAAATTGTATGCAGACTGTTGGTTCCTTGCCTCTCAGACAGATGCACTCCGACTTCGAAGGAAGCTCCCAATTAGTCGACTCTCATGACATGCTTTTGGGTAGGCAGTGGGTCTGTTCTTGTTTTCCCTATAATAGGGCCCCGAAACCCACACGGGGATCACACGTACTGAACGTATGTTGCAGGTATGTTGTCTGGATGTATTAAAGATATCCTGTGTCTGGCTGTTTGGGATTCAGGTTGATACCAATCTGTATGGATATAGTAGGGTCGGGGGTGGGGACGGCATGCGTGGCACCACAGCCATCATGTGGTCTTCTCATCTAAAGCCGACTGGCAGGGAGAACGAAATAAAGACCTGAGAAGAAGAAGAAAAGAAGAAGAAGAAAAAAAGAAGAAGAAGAAGAAGAAGAGGAGGAAGAGGATAAGGCAGATAAAGAGAAGGAAGCAGCAGCAGCATAAGAAAAAGAAGAAGAAGAAGAAGATATAAAAATGCACAAGGCTGAGGAAGTGGTGAAGTATCGAAAGCCCTGACTGAGGGACATAATGAGAACGATGTTCTTCAACACTGTTGCTTACATGATGCTGTTGAGCCTTTTCTTTGCTCTTAGATATTTTCTTACGGTCACGTCTGCGTCTGTGACTTAGGCGTTGCAAGCACGCTTTGCAATGCCTAGATGCCGGATTCGATGCCAGCTGCAGGCGATTTGGCAGCAGAACGTCTAGCGTTCGTTTCGACTGTGGTACCGAGAGCCGACCGCTCATAAAAGCAGGAGCGAATTACTGAACATAACATTTGCCCTGTAAAAACCCTTACCAGGTACAAATGCTGGGGTTAGTTCTGCAACGTCCTGTAAAGTATATGCAGTTCACTTTTAACAAACAGTCACATACATTTATTGACAGGCAAAATCCTTTTAATGATCGAATCGTTTCGCCCAGTGAACTCAACATTGATTTTTGTTGACGCAATACAGGATTATAATCTACTTTGCTTGTGGGCGTATTTTCCGTTTTGTTCTGTGCCGGAAAATTCTCCCAAACAACGCACCGGGTATGATTTGCTCCCCCCCCCCCCATGTTCTCTAGGCAACGCACGATCTGTTCTAACGTCTGGTCTTAAAGTGTTATATAAATCTGGCTAGTTACATTAACTTATAACACTTTATACGTTTCACCACGGTCTAGAAGGAATGCTATAAACTGCAGTGACAAGAGGATCTTGTAGAGATGTAATGCTCAGAGAAAAGATCTTTAGTGTTTAAACTGTTTCAGGACCAAATTTTGGTGAGCGACAAGAATAGACCCACTGCCACCCCTGCCCTCTTCTCCCACGCGGAAAGGGAGGGGGAGGAGGGGGGGGGGTCATGTGAATAAAGGCGATTAATCAGGATTTGCTATTGGATAAATTGGGCCGAAAGGCATATATATCGCAGCCTAGCTTAAACAATGGCTGCCAGCGGCCTTTTTAAGGACAGGAGGGACAGAAGAAATATTACCATGGCTGTTAAGGGAGCATTTATCAGATTGCCCCTAAAGCTACGATGTCAGTTCTCATTGCTTAGGGTTAAATGTTTCATGTGCGATTTTTAAATGACAATAATTTATTCACATTGTTGTCATTGTGGATTTTTTACCCCATTGGAAATATGATGTAAAATCGTTTGGGGGCTGGTAGATAATGAACAAATTGTCATGTGCTCACTGGCATTTGTAAATGTAGAATAAATAAATGTGCCTGTTTGGATGGTTTGAAGGCTGACCAGCATTACGCAGATTTGGAAAGGATGGAGGAGAGGGGGGGGGGGCGGGCATTTGAACAATGAAACAAAGATGACCACACAATAGTTAGATTGAAATTCCTATGAAACCAAACAGGCAGAGTGACCCAGGCAGCAGATGCATGCAGAAGTCAGATGTGTCGGCTGAAAATATCGCAGCCATGTGGTAAAAATGTACAGCATATTCACTCTTCGGGTGAACAAAAAAGAAGTAGAAGAAGAAGAAGAAGAAGAAGAAGAAGAAGAAGAAGAAGAAGAAGAAGAAGAAGAAGAAGAAGAAGAAGCAGAGAAGGAAAAAGAAGAAGAAGAAAAATAAGAATAAAAACTAGAAGAAGAAGAAATAGAAGAAGAAGAAATAGAAGAAGAAGAAGAAGAAGAAGAAGAAGAAGAAGAAGAAGAAGAAGAAGAAGAAGAAGAAGAAGAAGAAATAAAAACAGGAGAAGAAAGTTCAAAGAAAACAATACTCTAGAATACTCTAGAAAAATAAACACTGAAAGCTATAGTTACCACCCTGGAATCGAACTAGTCGCCTCCACATGGTGACCTGAATTGCTGCAGATATACCAAACTAATCTATAAGTGTACATCAACGAATGGCGGACTAGACGTCCTTGATTTACATAAGGCATGTGTTATGTTAAAATTTATCTTCATAATGTGAAAAGTTAACATGTTTATTGACGCAAATACAAAAATATTGTTTCTTTCTTTGTAGATATCGTCTGTATGGTGTTGTCCAACATGCAGTTGCCAGAGGAGATGAATTTTGACTGGCTGGAACATCGTCATATTTAGTGACAAAAATCATCATATTTTACTTATTTTCGCCCCACATTGGTTTCGATTACTGTCTCAAAATTGATATGGGGGTCTTGATTTCCTCACTGGAATATTGACGGAGGCATCACTGCTTTATTTAATGGAGTATTTTGCTTAGATGTAACATCGTCACATTTGTATGTAACTATTATGTCATCACTGTGATTGGCTGTTAGATTACCAAGTTTTAAATGGTATATATTATTACCTAATGGTTCGCCCAGATGTCAGACTGTTTTAATTGCCTGTAATAGCATCGTTCTTCCATTGGCTGAAATATTTTGGTCCTTCTATTGGCCTTAATATCATAGTTCTTCCATTGGCTGTAAAATAAAGCTGAATTTTCAATGGATTGAATATCGTCCAGCGTATAATGATCGGAATGAGGACACAATGGTTTGTAAACTCACTGGCTGTCAACTCAGCAGACTTTCATTCTAATGCTGAGAATCTTTGATTTTGGATTCTAGCTTCACATCAGCCTCCCCAAAAGTCAAATATTAGCATGGGTCAACAGTTGGATAAACCATCCCGTATTGCGACTGCTGCCAGCGAGGGACATGTCAAACACGTCAGGAGATCCGTCAGTTCTGCGGGGAGTATTGACGTCCGCAATGACGACGGCAGAAGTGCCCTAATGCTGGCAGTAGAACATCGCCATGCCGTGGCAGTCCGGACTCTGTTGGAGGCTGGAGCGGATGTCAACACAAAGGAGCTATCGCATACCTCAGGCAGGTCGGTACTGATGCTGGCCATTGAAGAAGGAGCTACAGAATGTGCTAAACTGTTCATCCAAGCTAAAGCTGATGTCAACAGTAAGGACACCAGTGGGCAGACGAGCCTAATGTACGCTGTGAAGAAAGACAATATCGAATGCCTGCAGGCCTTGGTGAAAGCCGGGGCTAACCTGAATCAGGGAGATAGTTTAGGCATCACACCTTTGATGTTAGCGGTCAAGATGAGACACTACAAATGTTTAGAGTTGCTTCTTCATGCTGGTGCCGATCCAAATATCGCAGACTCCACGGGACAGACCTGTCTGATGCATGCGGTCAAAGAAGCCACACCCAACAGCGTGAAGTGTTTACAAATTCTGCTACAGCCTCGACCAACCGCCAAAGTTAAGGTGGATGTCGGTGATAACAACGGAATGACCGCCTTGATGCACTGTGTCAGAAACGGCAATCTCGAATGCCTGCGCGAATTGCTCCGAGCTCGGGCAAATCCTGATGGTAGGGATATTCTAGGACGGACAGCATTGATGCTGGCCGCAGAACCACAGTCGTTGAAGGTCGACGAGGAGTTGCAGCATGATTTCGTTAATGATTTGATTGATGCTGGAGCTAACTTAAACATTCGGGACTATGAAGGAAACACTGCTCTCATGCGGGCTGTAGAGGAGAATCTTCAGTCGCCAATTGCAAACATTTTAAGGGCTCGAGGAGCTGATGTCAACGTTCCCGACAAATCGGGACTGACTGTTCTGATGCTAGCCATTAGAAAGATGGACAATGCAGTGTTTTTGAAGTTTCTACACGAACTTATTGAAAATGATGTTAATCTGGATGCTGTTGATAAGTGGGGGAAAACAGCCCTCATCCACGCGATTGAGTTAAAGGAATCTGTCCACGAGAAGGCGGTATGTCTACTTCAGATGGGAGCTAACCCACATACTGGACGACATCTGAAGATTCGTTTGTCACCCTTGATCGCGTGTGCTCTACATAAAAACTTCGAGAAGACAGCTGCGCCCGAGCGTGTCTCGTTTATGAAATTCTTTATTGCCAGCGGCTTCCAGACAGACTTCGATACTGCGTATCGACCCGGAAGTGACAATATAGCTAATGAACTTGATGACGGGGCAAGGTCGTTGCTGCACAAGCTATACTCAAACCCCTGGCCATTGGCCAGACTGGCTCTGATAGCCGTGTCTACAGCAATCGGTCCCAATCCGGGAAGAGACAAGCGTGTTAAGAAAACCCACCTGCCCCAACGGATCCAGAACCTGCTGCTGTTCCAAGATCCGATTTCTCGGCTACCCCGACACCACTGGGATAGTATCCCTCTCTGCTTTAACCCACGTGATTATGAGACCCTTCCCAAGCCTAGGCCTCTACTTCTGTACTGGCCGATCGGCCGGGAACTCGTCAAATGTTACTGTAAAAAGTGTCAAGGACGTGGGTTAAATTTCCACGGAGTTTAAACTTTGTTTTGCCAAGATCACACGGGGGCGCCATCAAATTTCCGCTTCAACTTGTAAACTGACCGAGACCACATCGTTTCCTACACGGCGGCTTGTTTAACCAACCAGTCACAGCCGGCAAAGTACGACAGAAGGCTAGACAATTTAATGAGTGAAATGCGCAAATATTGATTGAAACGTGTGAGTTAGACACTGATGTGAAGTTTTTTCTTGTCAACGGATTAAACTTGATAGATTGAGAACTCCAGATGTGCAATGGTGTATTCCTTGGTATATCTATACTGATACCACAAGAAACTTGAGATAAGATTTTAAATCTTCGTGTCCCAGGACAATGTTACAGTAAACAACAACTGATCGGTTTCGGGGAATACCCAAACAAAACCAACTATACTGGAAAGCGTAGGGTAACATAAAAAATAAAAATTGAGATTGTTTGTTGGTACTTTATTATTTAAAAAAAAAAAAAAATTATTATTTCCAAATATCCTACCCAAGATGACGTCACATGACAGTCCAACATTTTAGAGGGTGGTAAGACTTGCTTTTCCGGCTTTCTGATGCTTTTAACGACCCAAAACATCTAGAACTGGCCCTAACCCCAACCAACCTACATCCCATGAGAGAGTGCAGCCTAGGTACCACGACCTGTTTCATCACATGTGCTGGTTCACACCTTGCTGCAAGGTATTGTGGGATATGTCCTAATTCCGGCTCTGTTGCATTGGCTAATGTGAGTTTGTGTCTTTTTCGTGTGATTATGTTTTCAGTCCAACGGCTTCTCTGGTCTTTCTTGTGCTTACTGTCGCACCGTTCTATTGCTGTAAATGTACATGAGGTTTAAAGCAGGTTCCATTCGCATCGAATGACCCAACTGACCTACTGTTTCCCTATTTCATTATTTCATGTTGTCTTTCTACCATTTCTCGTATGTCGCATTTCTTTATTCATCTCTTCTAGTGAGCATTGAAAGCTTTTTTCAGGTAGATCAGCTCACAGGTTATGCTTTTCCTGTCCCATTTAAAAAAAAAAAAATTAGTGATTAGTGATAAGAAAGGATTATCATCACAGCACTCTGGACAGATCCATAGGTGCTCCGATCTCCTCCTCAAAAGCTCCACAAGTGTAAAATGACTGATGACACCTGTTCTGTGTTGGTTAATGAAATGTCTTGTCCCCTTAGTGAAATATTCATTTCTGGCAGCTCCAGGCATGTTCATCAGTTCTAGAAAGCGATGCTGAGTCATGTCCTTTGGTGTGCTCCTCGGTACCGTAAGTGCAGCGCATGGCATTCATAACATCACTTCTGTCCAGCACTGGGCCAGACATAGCAACTGCAGTGTCAGCAAGATTATCTGCACGCTCGTTTCCTTGAACACCCAAAGATGAAGATTAGGGCAGATATTCGTGAAGTGCTTAGTGTTGCAATCTATTCTTGCCTGATAAATCCAGCAGGAATTTTTTAAAGCATATTCGAGTCGTTAGGAATGCATACGTGTGTGAACTTTTGAGTACCAAGCCATGGTGAAGCCCTTGCTACAGCAATAGTTTCCATTGTAAGTCTACTAGTTGTAACAGCGAAGGCGCCATTCATCTCCCTGATGGTTTTCCCCCTTCAGCTTACTGTGAATACCCATGCACTTCACTTGCCCCTAATTACTGACCCACCTGTATTTTTAAATTAGTGACCAGGTCTGACATTGGCACCAAAACGCTGGTTGCTACCAATTATTTTGTTTTGTTTCTTGGTATCTATATTGATACTAAATGCTGATAGATTACTACAACTGTTTGCTTCTTACGAGTAATTTCGATCATTTTTCGATCCTCCTGCTGCATCTGCAGTTCTCGTCTCAATTGACTCATGAAGTGAGTCCACTGACATCAGAAGGCAACAATCTACATTCTTTGGTCATGGCATGAGAAGGGGGAAACTGGAGTGTATCGTGACGGTGGGAAATTAGAAGAAAAAGGAGACAGAGAAAGAGAAGAAGAAGCTAGACAGTTTGACATCGTGGCATGGAAGATAACCTGTGTCTTAACTGATTGTTAGAACATGAGACAGAAAGTCATGGATAACATGAAAACCAACGCCACACGGCATGGAATATTAGAAGGTGTTATAACTACCTTCAGTTATATTTGTTATTAAACTAGCAAAATATTTCTTTTTAAAACAATAGTTGGTACTGTATTAATATACTCCCCAAACAGGGATAAATCCACAGGTCACGGGACGGTCAAATATTTTAGAGGGGGAGGGGAGGGGAGGGGTAGATTGGCTGCATGCAGTCGTGGAACCTAGGCTGTGGTACGTAGGTGGGTTGGGGTTAGGGCCAGTTCTATATGTTTAGGGGTCGTTATATATTATAATGAATTTTTCATTAGTACTTTCCAGCTTCCACAGACCAGTGTTGGACTATAGCAGTGACTGCTGTAACTAATGTTTTAGGTAACATCATATAATTTGTTTTTTAGATTTGTTCCGTATACAGAGTATAGTGAGACTTTAAAAACACCCTGCAGTTGTACTTTATTATGGGTAGCTGGATGGATCGTCCACCCACATTGAGTAGAAGGTTACCACATGAAGCTGTAGGGGCCCCAATACAACTAGATTTTAGTGTGTGAGTTTGTGTGTGTGAGTAAGGGTTGAAATCTGAGTTGTTCCTGTTGCAATGGTATCGAAATAATAGCTCTTTGGGTCACTGGAAATTGGGGGCTAAAGTGTTACATAGAACCTGTTCTGATGTATGGCAGCGAAACTTGGAATGTCAGTGGACAAATTTGGAAGCAACAGAGATGTGGTTTCTGAGACGAATGTTACGAATATCTTGGACGGCCAGAGTAACTAACAACGATTACTTGAAAGAAGCTAATGAAAGTAGATTTCAATATAGAACAATAAGAAAGAGACAAACACTGTTCTTTGGCCACATAATGAGAAGAGAGACATTGGAGAACATCAGTGTGAAAAGAGGTAGAGGCAGACCTAGAGAGATTATGCTAAATGGGCTAAAACGATGGCATGGAGGGATATCATTAAGAGAGTTGTTCCAGGCAATCAGGAATCGTGATCTGTGGAGACGCATGAGCTCCTACGCCAGTTGGCAGGGCACATGATGATGATGGGTCACTAGGTTTTAAACATTCAGGCTGCGTTAATGGAGAAGGAATTAACAACTTATTATATGCTGCTTGTTTACTTAACCTTATCCCCCCCCCCCTCCCCTTTTTCCATACTTCTCTTTTACTGTTTCCGTCAGTAGTAACGCCAAACTCTTTATCATATGATAGACTAGGAAAGCGAGGGAATGGATAAGGATAAGCTCTATAACAGTGACAAAAAGATTGATTTTAAAAAAAAAAGCTTTTGCAAGTGATCCTGGATCAACTCAAAGTGTGTGTCATTTCACGACAGCTGTGTCAGCAGCTTTACGACATCTGTGTCCACATTGTCGGATCTTTAGAAATATTAAAACCACATTTGCGTGGAAAATCATCATCATGTAGCAGGTCCTTTGCAGAACGTCGCTCTCACCACGGTCTGCCTGAAAGAAACTCAAGTCTCTCGCCAGTTCTCCCGCCTCATGAACTTTCATACTCAAGAAGTCACTTATATTCTACGCCCATCTTCGTGTCGGTCAGCCCCTGCCCCTCCTTCCTGGTACCCTGCCTTCTGCTATATTATTTTCCAATCCGTCGTGGCGCTTGATATGACCAAAATATTTCGAGACAGGATGCTGTTTATTAGCCAATCTTCCTTGATGTCCAGATCTTTCAAGCGTGGCAAATACAGGGAACAAATGTAGTTTATTTATGTTGATTCATTGACTGACGCTAAATATGAGAGAAACGGCGGCGGGGGGAACAGACTCTCTCTCTCTTTCTCTCTCTCTCACGCACACACATACACATACTTATAAAGATGCTTTTTATGTGGATAAAGGACAGAAGAAGACCCAGAGAGGCTGGGATAGGGGAAGACTGATGCATCATAAATATAGAGAGACTGGGTTGGGGGGAGATTGACACATCATAGATATAGAGAGAGAGAGACTTAGAGAGATGCTCCATTTCTGGAAAAAGGACAGAAGACACAGAGAGACTGGGGTAGGGGAAGACTGACACTTCATAAATATGCAGAGACTTATTAAGGTGCTCCATTTCTGGATAAAGGATAGAAGAAAAAAGAGGAGAGGCTGGAGTAGGGGAAGACTGACACTCCACGGAGAGACTGGGGTAGGGGAAGACTGACACTTCATAAATATACAGAGACTTATGGAGATGCTCCATTTCTGGGTTAAGGTTAGAAGAAGACAATGAGAGACTGGGAATGGGGTGCAGACATGGAGAGACAAAGAGAGTTAGAAAGACGAAAGAAAGAGACATGAGTACAGAGACAGGCAGACACATAGAGATAGACGGGGCAAATGGGCGAGAGAGGCAGATATAATGAGTTAAATAAAAGAGTCAAACTGAGACGCTTGTATCGACCAGACAAGACAGAGATTTTGTCAGAAAGAGAGAAGACGGGGGTGATATAAGCAGGCAAAGACAGAAGGGAAGAACAAGAGAGAGAAGACGGGGGTGATATAAGCAGGCAAAGACAGAAGGAGAGGACAAGAGAGAGAAAGACGGGGGTGATATAAGCAGGCAAAGACAGAAGTGGAGAACAAGAGAGAGAAAGACGTGGGTGATATAAGCAGGCTAAGACAGAAGGAGAGAACAAGAGAGAGAAAGACGGGGGTGATATAAGCAGGCAAAGACAGAAGTGGAGAACAAGAGAGAGAAAGACGGGGGTGATATAAGCAGGCAAAGACAGAAGGGGAGAACAAGAGAGAGAGAGAGCAGGCAAGCAAAGACTACGAAAGAGAGAGAGAGAGAGAGATTTATAGGGAAAAGGCAAGCAGGCACAAGACATATAGAGAGAGAAGAACAAATGCAGAGAGAGAGAGAGAGAGAGAGAGAGAGAGAGAGAGAGAGAAGAACAGTGACGT